TTCTTAGAAATGTGAGAATCACCAGACATTGACAAACGTCCATTAAACAGTCGAAACATAATGAAATGGGCCGTATTCAAGGAAATTGTAATAGGGCCAAGTATTTAGGGCCAGTACAGAAATCTTTTCAGCGATCAGTACCATTACCATAGGTCCAACCATACCGCATCAGCCAAGCTGATAAACTTGCAAAATACCTCAGCAAAAACAAGTTGATTCCCATCGAACAGCACGGATTGAGTTGGGTGCTTCCACGTGTACATTGATGGTAGATTGTGCATTTTGACTGGAATATGGCTATCAACAAAAGCCAAGGTGTAGCGTGATATACTTCGATCTCTCCAAATTCGACCTTTTGATAAAATGAACCATGAGGAGTTTCTTAAACTACGTCATGTGGATATCAGTGACCCATTTTTGACTGGATTCGCTGCTACCTGAAGATAGGCATGTGTGGGTTAGGTTGGGAACTCTTTTTATACACGGTACTCATGTATGAGTGGGGTGCCTCAAGGGGGTGCACTGTCCCCTCCTGTTCTTAAAAAAATTAGCATATACCCATGATCTCCATCTCCGCTTGACTACCCATCCTTTGGTGAAAGTTTGTCTGAGTCCCTGCTCACGTAGAATCCAACGATTGATTGTAATAGCGCACCTACGCGTGCATGCATAAATAAATAAATAAATAAAGCTCAACATGATGGTTATCTATCGTTACTATCCAAGTTCTGTTTACCTTGCCGGCATGCCTCATTACGGAGAAGTCTTCAAAGGTTTAGGAGTCGCATCCACGCATATTTAATAATGTTGGGTTCTGCTTTGAACTAATGAGAAGAACCTAACTCGAAGCCAAGCAAGTGCATAGCGTATCGCTGCTTTCCTGGACATTAGGCCCTGCCGAGGGCATCACCCACGGTCAAGCATCACGTCGCCGCCGAAAGACAGAGGGTTGGTACGACCACCCCTCCTCTCAAGAGGGTGCAGGAGTTGATGAAACCAAGCAGATCTAGAAACTTGGATTCGAAAAACTGCGAGGCATCAGTAAACGCAGATATCCCGTCCAATTTCTCTTTGTGTCCACTGCCTTTCAGGACACGATCCGCGATATGAATCACCAGTGGTGTTATTGAAGTATAGAAGGGAAGATGCCAAAGGACTTGTAGGTGAAGTTGAGTGTAGGAGGTAATGTCGAAGACCTCTCTAACGGGCCCTTAACCAGTGGTACAAGTACAAGGTGAAGATCTTAGCACGAATCCACAACTGTCTCCTTGCAGTGAAATCTATGACCCCAAAAGCTCCCATTTTATGCTACTCGCACGGCAACATCGTTTTTCTTCGATGGTTAGGTCTGGAAGCGGAGTCACTGGAAAATGTGGGTGTCACCAAAGGAACTGTGCACTTCAGCTCCTTTACCTTGCAAACAGTCCCATGCAATTTGCACTCGCGTTTCCATAAGTCATCGCGGGTCGTTCCTCCAAAGGAAGAAACATGCTGCTTGCATGGGCGGAGTCGTTCCTGCCATTGAGCCTTCCGCATCCAAGTCTCCTACTCTCTACTGCATTGAACGAGTTGCGCACTAGCAAGGGATACAGTGGTGGGCCTGATTCCGCTCATGCAATGGTCGTATATAGTGCTTATATAGTGCCTTCGAAGAGAAGTTTCTTGCCGTGATTGTATGAAGGTGCATCGTGATATAGTGTACTGAACGCATAGTCATATTTATTCATACATCGTGATCACAATTCAAACGCAAAGGCGAGATAGAAGTTCGTATATGTTTGTATAACAACAATAAGAAACTTGTGAGGAACTGAACTGAGTGAAATGATATCTGCTCTTGTCAGGAGCCGAGCGACGCGCTACCATACATACGATAAAAGGCTCGATTATTAAGGTCCTAGAGTGATAATTTCCTGGGTACGGTATTCGTGATGGGTTCATGGGTGTGATATCAGATAAGCACCGAACAATGATGTGATACAACAACATACACGATTTTCAAGACAGTAGCTACACCCGCTTCCGTTGAAAGGCCCAGGAGATTTACGAAAATGAATAGGGAGTGAAAGTGGGAGGGACTAGATCTTAAGAGATTCTCGATGCATTTCAAGTGAAGCGGGCGGATATTCGCAACTCATGGAAATGGTGGACGCTGCGATCTGTATTCTGAACCACAACTATGAAGAGAAATGGGCTCTCCACGTAGTCAAGAGGACCAATCGGTGCGGCGACGATTTCCTCATCTCTGCACACCGTGCGCGAACTCTGTTCGTCTGCGTTCTCTCCTGATCCTAGAAAGGGGACGACCATTTCGCTGCGCCGTCTCTTGATCCCCTTAACTACTACAATGCCAAAAGGTGCGTAAAAATGTTCAACAAATAAATGAATAATCTCTGTGTTAACTATATAAAGGCACCACAACAGTGACCAATAATATTACATAGTAAAAATTCATAAGTAAAATATGTACGTACGAATAGAGCAATATTATTTGCACGGATCAGGGTACTCGTACATAAAGGACGTTCCTATTCAACCTATAAGAGAACAAAAAATATATTTGACTAAAATTATGTGGCCAATGGTCAACATTTCACAAGCATTGTGATAAGCGAAACAGAATGGAAAAGGGTAGACGGAGGGAGTTCGTGGGCCCGTTCGATCGGCGCGAAAACCGCCTCGTTTCAGCTCCATCGTAACTCGTGCACTTCAGACTAGAGACTAATCACTGCTACTTAGAAACCGCTAATTATACAATAGGCTTCGAGTGCTGATAAGGTCAGGTACAAGAGCCACAGGCAGATGAAGAATGCCGAAGTCATGATCTAAATTAACACATTCAATTGAAAAAGAACTGAAAAATGAAAGCCAATGCGGAATGAGGCTGAACTTGGTTAAAGCGATTTTGTGACAATCGAAAACGCTTCCACGTTAATCGGATGGGCGGGCCGCCACTCGGTTATTGGTATACACCTACTTGTCATTGTATTTCAATGAAGGACGCATCAGTGAAGAAGGGACAGTGGTTAGGAGTCTCTACCTATAAAGTTATCGTGAAAACCTCCAAGGCATTGTCGGGTAATTCGTTGTCTTTGCACTGATGTCACTGCGCGGAAAATTTTGCACTTCTGCTAGCTCAGTTCATGGTCGTTAAGACAGCGGTCAGACTTTCTGCTGGAACTCGCACGGTAGGACTTCTTATCATATTCATGCACATTACATCGGCTACGGAGGGGGCATTTTGGCACTTCAGCTGCTTCACTAGTTCCAGATGACAAGTCTCACTCTGGTTAAACCTGTGAACTCCTGCGAAGCTGGAGTGAGCGGTCGAGCCATCATGGTAAATGGTATTTGTATAGCACTTCATTTCTTTATGAGCGTTGACAGATGGTCTCTACAAACTTTGCTTGGTAGATCGCGATTCACAAGATTCCACAGGTCCCCACTTCCCGTCTACACGTAGACAGGAAGTAGCAAATGTGCAGAATGCTCCCTCCCACCGTCGCGGAACTGCGCCGCATCGTCTCCTCTACGCTACCATTTTCGAGTAGAAAGAAATGGTGAATGCTCACATGACAGGCTACTTCTCCCTCATTCTACATCAACTTTTTTCTTCTCTACGTCTCCACTATCTCCTTGTGTCCCCTCAGTTCCCTTTAGGCGTCGCACTGCATAGCTCTATTAGCATTCTTTCTCGTGACGTTGCTGAGTGATGCCTGCTATGCTCTTGCGGTTCGGGCAGGACATCCGACTTGCGGCTGTGCGACAAAAACAGCGCTGCAATTTGGGTACATTTTTCCCTGCTCTGCGTAGCCTCCAACGTACCATGCTCGTACCATGATCAAATTTATTTGACGCAATATTGCTATCGTAAGCTGAGCCAACAAACTAGGCTAGTAAACAGGCTACACGCTCTCAGCACTCCGCATAGCTTTGGCTCCATGGAGGCCGAATAGAAATGAAGTCAGAAATAGGAAAAATAGCATTGGCTGAGTTTTCTTGCTGTTACCACCGCCCTGTGAAACCGTAGGTCGCTAGAATTGTCGCATCGTCAGAACGCAGGTTCGCAAGGCTGAACTTTATTTCAAGCAGGGTAATAGGTAGTTGAGAGCCCAAACCAAGCCAATGTATGAGCAGAGAGGGAGAGCTATTGCCTCTTGCTCGTTTGCAAGAAGGTCAAGAGGAGGAAAGCAACAGTGAGAAGGAGTGGTTGTCCTTCTTCCGCCGATATCTTCACCAATGCAATTATCGGAGATGAGCCTCAGACAGCTTTTCTAGGCGACTAGCGCCATTTTCTACACGAGAGCATTACTATTGGTGCAAGCAGTCCGCCACCAAAAAAGAGCTAGGTTTGATCGAGATATCCGAGGAATGGCAGAAATCTAATTCAAAAAAAGTAGAAGAAATAGAAATAGAAAACAGAAATCCAGTTTTTAGCTAGCTCAAACCTTGAAAGAGTCGCGGAAAAGTTGGGAATAAAAAAACATACCCTGAATTTCAAAGGACCTCCTAACTCTCCGCCAACAAGTTTTCCTCTCCTCAGCACAATGACAGTGATACAGGCGCAGGCTTCCAAACAAAACCACCATAGAACGGAAATCCGATGAATTTCCAGATCGAACACAGGAACCTTAAAGACAATTCGGTTGAAGGGCCATAAACAAAAAAACAAGGCTCACACGCAGATTCCCTCAGTAGCATGAGGTGAAACGTCTTTTCAACAAAGTATCACAGAGTATCAAGAAATGTGAAATACTGACTTGGTTCCATTGAAGAAATGATAAATGGCCGCCATTGACCATGCGATACCAATTCCAAGGAATACGTTCACAGCATTTGAACCCGTCACATTACCAATGGAATTGTCAGCATATTTATCTTGTACAGCGGACACCTTCGAAGCGAACGTGTCTGAAAATCACCGACGAGAGGTTAAAAGAAAACTTATTTTAATATTTACTGGTGTTTTTATGTTCCATGAATGAGGGCAAGTGTTATCACAAGCTCGACTTGTTCAGAGAGGTGTAATGAATGAAAACAAACAAATGAGAACCGCAGAATGATATGTCTGACTCGCGGCCTCTACATGGACCTTTAATTGGGGACAAACAATGATAGCAGAGTATGGATCCGTTCCTTCTTCAAAGCAATATCTCTAGGCACTCCACCAACGCTTCATCGAAAATAATTATATTCTGACTCGAAGGCTAAAAAATTTACCCGTTCCGTAGGCGCCATGCATTCCACTTACTATGATGTTTAGAACAGCAGTTTTCTTGGAACGTGGTTTGCCCTGTACGGTGTTTTGAAAGGGCCGCTGTAGATACCAAGGTCTCCATCCTCGCACGCAAGTCTGGCACCAGTTATAGGCACAGTGGTGTGATACATAGTCTCGTGGAGGGTGCGAAGGGGAAGGGACGAGGCGGGGTAGCAATGGGCGGGATAACGGAAGACCTGGATCAGTGAGAAGTTGCACTGAATCACTATATATAGTATTGGGTTGGCACATAAGTACTTTCGTTTTTTTTCAACCGGAAATTTCGTTCCAAAGATGAAATGTTTTGCTAGCAAGCTTGATATCATCTGATAGGAAACTTCACGTAGTTTAGAATATCAAAACGGCTTCGGTTGAGGGAATAATTTTTGTGGATTTTTTAGTCGTTGAAGTTGAAAGCGAAGTCGGCGAAAATTAGCACCTTCGACAACTGCCTCTATTTACGTATAGTCGAAGTGCTAAAATCGCTTAAGCTGCTCCATACATTTGGAAAAGGTCGAGCTAGAAGTTCCAGCAAGGGAATCTCACTAGGACGCTTTGGAAACGAATTTCAAGAATTTTGAAGTTACCAACCTTCACCTAGCCGATATTGGGCAGCTCACGTCTGTTCCACCTGAAATTTTATGCTAATATTTAGATGTTTCGCTGATATGTTTTGCATGATCTGATAGCAAATTTCGTGCTCTATAACACTGCTATAGAAAGTCTGTTCTCCAGAGGTGTTTGCTTTCTGTTAAGTTCAGGTTATCATTACGGAACGCGAAGTCGTTGAGAACTAGCGTTCCCGTTCTCTACGAATTTTATGCTAACGTTTTGAATGTTTCCGCTAATGTGTTCTTATATGTTTGCTGTAGCCAAATTTTCGTGCTCGTATTAAGCACGCGTTGCAGTTATTTTAAAAATCCGTTTGATGAATCTTGTTTTTCAGGTAAATAATATGGAATGTCAGATCGATAAGCATCAGCACTTCAGACATCTCCTCCTTTTCGCATTCAACAGAGGTATCGGAGCTGCTGATGCTGCTCGGGAAATTCGCTAAGAGCTGTCCTAACACAATCTGTTACTCTAAGCCTTACTCAAACCATGGCGACTCTATTGAGCTGCTCTAGGAGTTTTGAAGCTTCCGTGGACAGCGGTTGAGAGAAGAAGTCGGGAACTCTGATTCTCATCGACCTCACGTTCCGTAAAGATAACCTGAGCTTAACAGAAAGTAAACAGCTCCGGAGAGGGAGCTGATTTTTATGTTAGTGTTAATAGCGCCCAAAATTAGCTTATCAGAACATATAGACACTGGATGTAGCGAAACATCTAAATTGATAGCATAAAATTCGTGTGGGAAAACTGGCGGAACCCTAGTTGCTCACACGAGCTTCGCGCGTTCCGTAATGATAACCTGAACTTAACAGAAAGCAAACACCTCTGGAGAACAGATTTCTATAGCAGTGTTATAGAGCACGAAATTTGCTATCAGAACATGCAAAACATATCAGCGAAACATTCAAATATTAGCATAAAATTTCAGGTGGAACAGACGTGAGCTGCCCAATATCGGCGAGGTGAAGGTTGGTAACTTCAAAATTCTTGAAATTCGTTCCAAAGCGTCCTAGTGAGATTCCCTTTGCTGGAACTTCTAGCTCGACCTTTTCCAAATATTGGAGCGAGCTAAAGGCAATTTTAGCACTCTGACTGTTACGTAAATAAGAGGCAGTTGTCGAACGGTGCTTAATCGCGACTTCGCTTTCAACTTCAAACGCGGACTTTAAAAAATCCACAAAAACTTATTCCTCACAACCGTGAAAAACCGTTCTTGAGTAATTTCTAAAACTACGTGAAGTTTCCTATCAGATGATATCAAGCTTGCTAGCAAAACATTTCATCTTTGGGAACGAAATTTCCGGTTGAAAAAAAACGAAAGTACTTATGTGCCAACCCAATACTTTCTAGGCCTATCCCTTAGGGATGGCAGTCTTGGCTGGTCTAGACCTACCCCGCCCTCATCTACATTTTTTTGTAGGAGAACTACCTTTAGTGAGCCTTCTTCCTTATTCGGATGTGTGAGAGGAGGGTGAAAGGCGCATACCTAATGGTGTCTGCTAGGCCCCCATGCGAGTTTTGGGCCCTCCAAACGGCCTTATTTACCGCGGCTGTTGGGACGTTTAAGTGGCTGGATTTGGCGCGGTGTGAGCCCGTTTTCCACTGTTTGCTGCCGCTCGATGCCCCTCCCCACTCCTCAAATTGGGGGGGGGGAGGAGAACAGGCTGGCGCGGCGCTAAACCTAGCCCCCACCGTATGCGCCCCAACACCCGAAGCGAACGAGACTATACATTGCTCAGCAGCTGCCCAGAACATGGCACAGTAACATTTTCCATCTCAACTTGAACATTTAACACAAAGAATCTAACGCACGAACCTGGCACGGAGGTTCCAAGGGCGACGAACGAGATGGCAGTGACGGAATCTTTCAGGCCAACCCAGCAACCGAACTGTGACGCTAAATCGCCGATAACTGCTGTCAGGACACCGATCATGAAGATGGAGACGACGAAGCACGCCCATCCTCCCCAGTAGTCTGAAATGCACGAATAAAGGGAGAAAAGGAAAAAAATGTTAGAAGGAGTCATTTTCTATAGAAAAAAGAAAGCGATGTGGGCAGGCAAACGCTGGAAGGATCCCCGTCCCTCCCCACCGCTAGAAATTCATTCAGGCCACAGTTCATTCTCATCGTACGGAGAGACTCGAACGTGGACTACGCCTTTCACCCAATGGCAGAAGTCTGTCGTTGACAGCCTCCCCATGCGATCCAGCTGGAGGGGAGTTCTCGGCATTGTTTTGCTTGGAAGGGGCTTTTCGCAATTATACTAGTTTCGTTTGATAGATCATGTCAATGAACAGGCCTCACTTTAGTCTGACCTGTGAATACCTGTGATTATAAATATTTCTGCATGGAACTTCAATCACAAGAATTTGCAGATAATAATAAGGTGGTCTCTACTCACTCAACTGAGCACCATTCGATGCCCCCCCCCCCCTTCTGAGCCAAACAACCAAACTGGGTCAATTCCCCTTTCAATTTCCAACAAAAACCATGAAAGCAGGATACGAACCAGTCGGAGGGATGGTGGCGAAGATCAGTTTCCAAGGCATTGTCAGGAAATGCATAGCATAATCTCCGCAACTTGGTGGTTCCTTTTCTGCTCCTTCGCTTCCACCTTCTCCATCCTCACCATCGTCATCATCACCCTCATCTGCAAACAATTCACGTTAGTGAACTAAAGGCGGGTTAAAACGACGGAGACATATGAAATTTACCAGCACCAACGGTCAGCGCATCGACGAACTGTTCACGCCATGATGACGTTCCCAACATCAGTCTTGTATTGGCATTGCGGATCATTCGGTCAACAATACCCTTGAAATTAGAGAGTTATGGTATTTGAATGAGTATTGTCGCCTGAAAGAAAGATTCCTAATCAATTTGCGAAGGCAAACCGACAGGACCACTTGAGATGGTGGGGTCACGCTACGCTCCCAAAGAGTTCTTCAGCAGGAACAGGGACAGTTGGACCTCACGGTCGGCTCAATTCATAAGCTTACACTTCACACCGGCTCTGTGGTCGCCACGCTAATAGTAAGAGACGGGCGATTCTATCGTGAGCTAGTCAGCTCATGCCGCTTATGTAGCTCGCGGCAAATGGTGCAGCAATTTCATAGTTGCGTTACAGGATCCACGAACTCTCGTTGGAGCGAGGAATCTGCGTTAGTTCGCGCTACATTCTCTTCCTCTGTCCAGGAGGGACAGGCATACGAATGAAGGAGGCAACATGAAAGCAGTTGAATAAAGTGAGGTTTTCCGAGGAAAAGCTGTGCATTTGGTCTGCGGAGGTAGATAAGTCCGTCTCCGCCCGTGCTACCACTGTGGACTGCCCATTTTAGCGCTTTTGCGTGGAATTGAGAATCTCACAGTGATGGAAGGTTGGGTGGTCCGGGTGGAAGTTTAGCATGTAAATAACAGACTGTCACTGTCTTCACAAGAGTCAAGATTCCTGTAAGGTAAGGCTTGTGATGAGCGGGGACTGGAGCGCTGCCAAGGTGGCCTGCACCATTGATGCCATCCTAGGTCCGCAACAATTAGCGAGAAGGGCTGCACTGCTGCGCTGCAATCCAGCTCATGGCCGAGTGTCCACACGCATAACGATCACGACCACTTCAGTAAGGTGATTCATGCAATATTGAGGGGTGGTTGATGGTCATCGGTTCGTGGAAGCTTTCAATCAATGATGTCAACCTGAGTCCGCTACAGTTGGTGAAAAATCTGCTCTGCCTGCGCTCCAAGCTATGCCGCCGTCCTGCGCCTTATCATTCTCTGGGATAACGACTGTATATGTAAGAGATAAGGGGTCAAAAGCGGAAGCACTCCGTAGAACATCCAATCGAAACGTCAGGTGACAGCAACAAGAGAAGGGATTAAATGTGTTTATTAAAGCCTCAGCACCCGCTGATTCTACAGCCGGAATTAGACCTACTAGTGCGCCCTCTTAATTGATACCCCTTTTTCATGGAAAGGAAGACCCATGGTTGAGTCTCCGCCCATAGTTCCACCGTGGATTCCGCCTATAAGTGGAACGATAACTGAATCTTCTAGGAAGGAACGGAGAGCAAAGTTGCTTTGAAAACTGAAATCAGGCTATATAGGCTACTGTGACCGCTGTGAGCCAGCAGCGAAGTCAAGCGTAAGTGAGCATTCTATGCTCGTCTCAAGGGTGGAGTCACGCGGAAAATGAAACCTTCACTATTGGTGCGCTTCTCCTCTCTGACAATATGGAGGACAGGACCAACCATTGAATGAATACCTTCGAGGAATTTGTGGTCCTTGAAGAGAGGGGATCACCTTGCTAAAGATGTCACTGAGCATACATCCCACAAGGAATATGACAAAAGAAAAGGTAAAAGTGAGGGATCTCCCCACCTCATCACCTCCCTCCCTTTGCCCCAATCTAACAATATACCAGTCCACAAAAAAGGGAATCAAACGAAGCGTGAAGGTCTTCTGACCAATGTGAATGTCTAAGACCCAAGAATTCTGAATTATTTTATATTTTGGAACTAACCTGGAACTCTTTGCTTTCCTTGATAGTGATCTGACACTTGGGATATTCGCCAATGCGTGGTTTTCCCAACTCGGCGATTTCTAGTTGGTCAGCTGTCAAGCCGGCCATGTCATCACCGCCTACAAATTAATTATGGTAATGGTATCAATGCAAGAGGTTCGCTATAAAAATCATTTCCGGGGGTTATTATCCTCCGCTGTAGAGATACCCTCTCGGCTAAGAAAATATCCTATGCACATTGTCTTTCGCTCATCTCTACAGCGGACGATCTCTAGCGAGCAATTTCGGACAGTAAACTGGAGGGTTAAGTATTAGTAGAAGGGGAAAAGCATCAAATATGGACTGGAAAAGCGATATTTTATTGCAAGATTTTCAATACAACAAAATAGTGAAGGAAACTAAAGGATAGAGTGAATCATGCCTGGTGTCGTGCAAAGGAACCTTTCATGCCGGCGATCCACGAACCCATCCGCTTTTTGAAGCGATCGTTGAGATTCGGCGAGGCGGAGATGGCTCTCTTCGACGGATCCATCCCAAGAAAATCCGGTGATTTTCGAGGTCGACCTAGAACTCATGCTCACACGGCTGTGCAGGTGGGAGCGTGCAGGTATGTGCAATCTGTATCTCAAGTTTCAGGATTAGGTGTGGCGCGGACAGGTGCTCACGGTCCTTTGGTGGCCCTGAAAGGACCGACCCCGCCAGCTGGGGATGAACTGTTTCAAACGGCTGTTCCACAACTGTGACCTCACCTTTCTATTTTTCCGCTACTGCGATAATGGGCCCGATTTTTG